CTTCCTACTAATGATAGAATTCACTCCAACAATTTAGATCTCTTCTTTAGGTAATTAATCGCTAAAGCCACCGCCATCCAGCCCAGTCCTTCTACAGTATGTTATTATTATTACAGTATGTAATAATAATAACAACCTATTTGAACTACTTTTTCAATAATCACCACTTCAAATAGGTTGTTATTATTATTATTTTTTAACGTAATCTTTATTGAAAACGTTGAGAACAAAAGTGACGAATTGTGTTGTACAGAAACAAGGCAAATCAATATTTACATGAAATTCATACAGATAAGGAGTAAGTAGAGAAGGTAGCGGGGGCTGTGTGTGTGTGTGTAAGCATGAGTAGCTGTGTGTGTGTGTGTGTGTCTGAGAGAGCGTGTGTGTGTGTGTGTTTGTATAAGCATGAGTAGCTGTGTGTGTGTGTGTGTGTGTCTGAGAGAGCGTGTGTGTGTGTGTGTTTGTATAAGCATGAGTAGCTGTGTGTGTGTGTGTGTGTCTGAGAGAGCGTGTGTGTGTGTGTGTGTAAGCATGAGTAGCTGTGTGTGTGTGTGTGTGTCAGAGAGTGAGTGTGTGTGTAAGCATGAGTAGCTGTGTGTGTGTGTGTGTGTCAGAGAGTGAGTGTGTGTGTAAGCATGAGTAGCTGTGTGTGTGTGTGTGTGTCAGAGAGTGAGTGTGTGTGTAAGCATGAGTAGCTGTGTGTGTCTGAGAGAGCGTGTGTGTGTGTGTGTTTGTATAAGCATGAGTAGCTGTGCACTTGTTTTCAACTCCTGGTGGGTTCCATAACCTGAGATTCCACTCACGTCATGGGGACTGGTTTTACGTGGTGGGGCCCGAACACCGGACCCCACTGGTCCAAGCTTAATAATCAATGGGTAATGCTTTTCTAACGGTCCTTATGCAGTCTCTGTAAAAATATGGAAAGGACCCCTGGAGGTTTACTTTCCTGAAAAAAGTGTGTTATGTGTCGGAACCCTGGTGGTGGGTTGCGGGATATCAAGGAGGGGCACACTGGGGCAATTTCAGTCCAGCAGGCTGGAGCCAATCATGGAGCAGCACAACAGAGGAAATCAGGTGTCAGGCTAGAAAAAGGTGCAAGTGTGTGGTTCATTAGGCTGCAAGAAATCATGGAGGAGCACACTGAAGCGCACGCTTACAAACCACTGGTAAGTGCTGACTACAAGTCATGACTTCAAATTGTTATATAGAATGATTACAAATTATTTGTTGTTTGTGCAGCTTAGTCAAGAGTCCCTAATTGATGAAGTCGACTCAGATTCTGACGATTTAACTGTCAAGAAGAAACCTGTAAAAAAGTATGGAAAAAGAAAAATCAAAAACACTTTTCTTCAAGACTCGGAAAGTGACGAACCAAAGGCAAATAAGATTGTTATCATGCAGCTGCAAAAGAAGAAAAATGGGGGGCGAGTTTACAGCAAGAGACACTTCTGCCTCTACTGTTCAATGTCCTGCCACAAAATGTCCCGTCATTTGACTAGAAAACATGGAAATGAAAGTGACGTAGCCAGAGCATTGGCTCTACCTGTGAAATCTAAAGCACGTAAACTTCAGTTTGATTTGATCAGGAATAGTGGAAACCGTGAGCACAATTTTGAGGTTTTAAAGGCCGGCATTGGAACTTTAGTCCCAGCTAAACAGCCAAATTCCCCAGTTAAATCCAGTGAGTTTTTGCACTGTATAGACTGTGGGGCATTGCTTAAGCGAAAGTCGCTGTGGAGGCATGTGGCCAGGTGCCGGCTTTCACAGAAAGATGCCCAGGCTAAACCAGGCTAAACCAGGTAGAAGTAGGGTCCAGTCCCTCTGCTCCCTAGCCCAGCCTGTACCGGAGGGCATCAGCAAAAAGCTGTGGTCTTTAATTTCGGCAATGCATCAGGATGAGGTCACGGGTGTTGTCAAAGCAGAAAAGGGGATTCTGAGACTCGGAGAGCACCTGTACTTAAAACACGGGCATGATAAGACTAAGCATGATTACATTAGGCAGAAAATGAGAGAAGTCGGTAGGTTAATTAACGAAGCAAAAACCGCAGGGAAACTGAAAACAATTAAGGATTTCTTTATTCCTTCCAACTTTAACCATGTGATTGATGCAGTCAGGTCTGTGGCTGGATATGATGAGGAAACAAATCAATACAAGACTCCATCCTTGGCCCTCAAACTCGGCCATAGCCTCAGAAAGCTAGCAGATATTCTTGAATGTGACTCAAAAATGGAGCATTGTGTTGATGAACTATTTATTAAAAACCTCCAACGAAGCCGGCTGCTTTTTGAGAAGAGGTGGGACGTCTGTGTTTCTTCTGCTGCCCTACAGACCCTCCGGCAAGCCAAGTGGAACAACTCCGGACCTGCTCCCTCTGACTGAGGACGTTAGAGCCATGCATGCACATATTGAGGTATGTCGACCTGAATATGTGCAAACCCTAATAAGTGAGCCAACGTCTAAGCATTGGTCTAAACTGGCAGTTTTGACTCTTTGTGAGGTCATCATTTTCAATCGAAGAAGGGAAGGTGAGATCTTTTTAATGTTCTGTGATTATTTATGATTTTAATGCAATTTTGTTTTGTTCAGCACTTTGAGTTGCCTTTTGTGCTATACAGATAAACTTGCCTTGCTTTGCCTACTGCTCAGGGTTGCGTGTGTCGTGTTTTAAAGTTCCACTGCCTCCTACTGGCCGGGCACTAGAACTACATGTTTTCCCGTGGTCATGTGAACGTAGTGCGCGCACCAACGCTTCTCCCATTGAAATCTCATGTAAAACATGATTTTCTAGCGGTCCTTGGCTTTAGATCATATCCACACACACACACACACACACACACACACACACACACACACACACACACACACACACACACACACACACACACACACACACACACACACACACACACACACACACACACACACACACACACACACACACATACACACACACACACACACACACTGCACTTGTGTCTAAACATCAGCAGGAGGAGCAGCAGGTTTTACAGTGATTCTGGACATTGTTTTTTTTCTTTCATAAAGTCTGGCGTCTGGCCAAACCAGCACAGAGACCATGAAGACAAACACATGCATGTGATTTGTGTTGCTCTACATCAGTCTCTGTACTGTCCTCTACACTGCTGCATAGACTACACAGGGACAACATCAGAAGACGCGGACCTGCGCGCACGGCCTGTGTAGATACTCAAAAAAAAATGTACGTGCAGTAAACGCCTACGCGCTGTTTACGCCTACTGTGTAAATTCCCTGTTAGAAATCCATCCTAAATTAGAGCGCAGCTTCGCGTCATACGTCCGTCATAAACGCATAACGCTAGAAGTGTAAATATCCCCATTGGTTAACATGGAAAAAAGTTACGTGTGTCTGCTGCGCGTATAACGCGTACGCGCTGTAACGCGTGATGTGTAAATTAGCAGTGAGAGTCACTAACTGAGGCTTTGGGCTTAGAGCTGATTGGCTGAGTGAGGCTGGTTCTCTTGTTCTTCACTTTTAGGTCAAAAGAATCTGATGTAAAGACGGAGCCAGACTTTTCTCTAGAACCATCTCTGGACATGATCAAAGGAGCAGCTGTAGGTTTTTATGCTTCCTACACTTTTCTAACGTCCTGAACTCACGACGGTTCAACTTGTTTTTCTGCGACGGTTATGTCCGGATCAAAAACACCAAGAACCAGAAACCGTGAAAGAATGAGATTAAAGCTGCACTAACTGACTTTATTTTTGTATTCATTACGAAAGTGCTATCCATGTCCGTGTAGGGCATTGGGATATACGTCCTTTTGAAGAAAAAGTAGCGCAGGTTTGTGCTGGCGTGACATTATATTTTAGATCGAGTTTTGATGAAACAAGGAAGAGAATGTGTTTCGGGTCGCAGATTGTGACCAATCACAGCGGACCACTAGCCCCCACTTTCGTGAGAAATCTACAGGTCCGTTAGCACAGACGGCTGAGTTAGCACAACAAGCGGCGGAGCTAACCTGAAACTTTGTGTGTCTTCGTCACCGGTTACTGCTTACACAGCGAGACAGCCATCCAAAAGAAAGTCTCGTTCCTCCGCGCTTCCCGGTTCTATTGTTCTATGGTCACGCCATCCACGTGCAAATCCATATCCATGGTTTATCCATATTGGGAGACGCTAACTCCGTCCCAACAGTGGGTGTGTGTGGGGGGCGATAGCTTCGTGGGTGCGGGGAGGGGAGCAGAAAGAGCGAGGCCAGCGAGTCCACGGCTTCAAAATCCCAAAGTCAGTTAGTGCAGCTTTAATGAAAAAACATCACACATAGTTTTGTTGTTGTTGCAGTTTATTTTTGTGCTCAAGGAGGGGGGGGGGGTTTCATGTGACATCACTTCCTAACAGTCGACAGCACACACTGGAGTCTGTGGTCATTGAGGCTTTGCGTCCAGCTGATCCTCCAGGGGGCGCCAGAGATCCAGTCAGGGACAGAAACCCATGATCAGAGACTTAACTCTCCTTTCCACTGGTCACATTCATTCATTCATTCATTCATTCACACCATTCATGGTGGTACGATCAGCTACTACTGTAGCCATAGCTGCCCTGGGGCAGACTACGGAGGCTGCCAACCGAAGCCGACCCCTCTAACCACCACCTTACATTCACTCACACAAACACTCACACATTCATGGTGGTACGATCAGCCACTGCTGTAGCCATAGCTGCCCTGGGGCAGACTACGGAGGCTGCCAACCGAAGCCGACCCCTTTAACCACCACCTTACATTCACACCCATTCACACCCATTCAGAACCATGTGGGAGAAGTGTCTCGCCTCCTGACTTCTGGTGTCTCTCATCCCTGACCTCACCCTTTAGCCTCAGAGGCAGCGCGCATTAGCGGTTAGCCGTTAGCCTCATGACCACTAGCTGTTAGCTGTTAGCCGTCAGCTGTTTTTATCCAGTGGCTGTGCCTCTGATGTCTCTGTTTATGGAAGTAGATGTCACGGGAGGGGGGGTGGCTTAGGTGCAGGAGGGGCAGCAGGGGCAGGGGGGAGGTGGGACTGGCTCTGGCTTACAGTTCCATTTGATGCCCATCATTTGGTCCCATTGGGCCCAAGCCTCCGCAAGGTTCTCCTCCATTTCTGCAAATAGAGTTTTTTAAAACACACTTTCTGGGACGTAGTTAGTTGTTCCAGTTCATAAATACCTTCTCTCTGGTACGGTTCCTGGTCCTGAGTCCCGGTCTGCAGTTCTTCTTCATCATCATCATCATCTTCATCATCATGCAGACGAGAGTTCATGGCCCCTAGTATCTTCATCCTGTGGTTTAAGGCTTCCAGGTCCATGTTGGCGTCGTTCAAAGCCTCCAGGATCCTGCTCTGAGTCTCCGCCTGCCTCCGAAGGTTCCTCTTCTTACAGAGAAGGTTCTCCTCCATTTCTGTAATGACACAGTTTTTCAGGACACAGTTCTCTCTAAACTCCTCCACCTCTTTCTGGGACGTGAGCAGTTGTTTTTCCAGTTCATAAATACCATTCCTCAGGTGCAGGTCCTGGTCCTGGATCCTGGTCTGCAGCTCTTGGATGTGTTGCTCAGCGTCTGTAACACAAGAGTTCATGACTTGTGTGTTCTTGTTATGACTTGTGTGTTCTTGTTATGACTTGTGTGTTCTTGTTATGACTGAACTTCTTTGTACAAACCTCTGATGGTGGAGTCCTTCAGCCTCCTCTCCTCCTCCAAAGCCGTCATAGCCCTTTGTAGAGACTCCACCACAATATTGGAGTACTTCTGGTTCTTGTCCACAAATCGGACACACGCCTCCTTCAGGGCCAGGTTCTCCTCCTTCAGAGAGGACACCATGTTGGAATAGTTCTGGTTCATGTCCACAGATCGGACACAGGCCTCCTTCAGGGCCCGGGCCTCCTCTCTTTGTATCTGTAGCTCTGTAGCAGACTTCTGGGTCTTCAGACGCCTCACTTCTTCCTTCAGTTCTTGTGTCTCTTGGAGGTGAGCCGTGAGCAGGTGGCTCCTCTCCTGCTCCAGTCTCATGACCTCCGCGGACAAAGCCTGGTTTGATTCTTCAGTCTGAACCATTTTGTCCACCAGAGCTTTGTGTCGCTGCTGCTTCTTTGAAAAGTTCTTTGAAAAGCACCACATCTTGGATCAAATATTTTCCTTGTTTCTGACTCTGTTTTGTGACTCCGTTTGTGTTGTGCTTGGGGCCTCAGTCCTCTCACTGCTGTGAAGTTTTAATTCTGAGGATTACATCACCTGGATACAGACTTTGGAAGTGTGTCGTCAGGTCCATCATAGAATAGAACTTCCATTTGAACTTGCGGTTATCGCCACGGCAACACAGCCATAGGCTCTGTCTCTGTTTACAGTCAAGCAAATACATAGATACTTTATAGATACTTTATATATAGATACTTTATAGATAGTACTTTATAGATAGATACTTTATAGATAGATACTTAATGGATAATACTTTATAGATAGATACTTTATAGATAGTACTTTATAGATTGCTACTTTATAAATATTTTATAGATACTTTATAGATAGATTCTTTATTGATCTTTGTAGGAGAAATACATGTATCTATACTTTGTGTATTATACTTGTGCTACTGCACAGAGACGCTGTGAAATGATTCCGACGATACCAAAAGGACTTCTCCTTCTGTGAGACCCTCGGGGAGTCTCCTCATTAAAGGAGTTTGTACCGTGAGCAGTTCTGAGGCGACTGGACCCTCTCTGCCCCAACACGCTTCTTGATCTGAGATGAAGCCCATTTTTAGTCATAGCAGGAAGTACATATTTGGTCTCTCCATGGTATGACCCTTCACCCAGTTAAATGACCTTTGACACAGTTAAATGACCTTTGACCCAGTTTTAGCATAATGTCACATTAATCACATCAAATGTAATTAAATCACAGACTGATGGTAACAATCATTGTTTAATGCATTTTTCTTATGTTTCACATATAATTATAAAATGTTATTTTGTGTTACATCCTCCTTTTGAACTTTTGAAAATTAAGAAAACTAAGTAATGTCACTTAGAATCCTTGAGGATTCGATTCCTCCGACGCATGTTAACAACCAGAAAGTCAGAACTACAGGCCGCGGGGCGGCGTTGCGGTGATATCGTACACCAACTTTCTTCTAAGCCCTAAAACCAACAATGCCTTTCGTTTAGTTAAAAGTAAAAAAGGTGAGTGCTGCAGAGGGTACGTGTGATAGAAGGCAATAAAAACAGGTGCTCTTCGAAGACGGGGCAATCTAAGCATGTAGAAAGTCAGAAGAGAACAAAGGTAGTCTGAGGCACTCTGTTTTAGTGAAAAAATGAAAAGTCCTTTAATGAATTGGACTGCCTACGCGTTTCGACCAACAGCGGTCTTCGTCAGGTCATAAATAATCACCAGCAGGTGAACCTCTTTTAAAAGCAAGGCTGTCACATGACAGGAAGAACATGTGACAGAAAATTTGACAGAAAATTTTTGTGAAACAAAAATCACCAGTGTGACTCGATCATAGTGAAAAAACTATGTATAAATACATGGAGCTATACATTCAGACACATACGCACAAAGCGCCACAGGAAAAGAAGAGCGAGCGAGCATATAGATGAAGGCACCAACAGTAAAACACTGATATAACAAGAGCAGTGAAATGCCAGTTTATATTCTCATCAGTATACATTTTCAAACCGGATCACAAAACCACTGTCCATAACACATTATTCCAAACAACTACAAAAAACTACAAAAATAGGGTAAAGTCTAGTTCCTCATTTAGTCCAGGGTGATGCATAGCTCCAAGCGTATCTATCCAGTATGTCTCCCTCTGGAGCAGTTTTTTGAGTTTATCTCCTCCCCTGAGGTCCATTTTGATTGTCTCTATGACCATGATTTTGAGTCCATTGATGTTGGTATGGCCCATAGTTTTAAAATGTTTGGCCAGCGGATAGTCCAGATTCTGAGTTCTGATTGCATATTTATGTTCTGCAAACCTCTCTTTCAGCTTTCTCTTGGTACGTCCCACATAAAAGCCACCACATTCACAGTCAATTCTGTACACCACATATGTTGAGTTGCAGTTAGCAAAGCTAAGGCTTTTAAAGGTCTTCTCCTTTTTAGCATCGGTAAATGTAGTGCTCCGATTAATCTGTGGGCAATGTTTACAGGAACCACACATAAAAGTACCGGCTGGTTTTTTGAAGGAGAAGGCGGTCGATTTTTGAGGGGGCAAGTAGCTCCTCACCAGTTTGTCCTTCAGAGTGGGAGGGCGCTTAAATGAGAAAGTTGGCGTTTGTGAAAACAGTGGCCCCAGAGAATGGTCACAAGATAAAATGCTCCAGTTTTTTGTGATAGTTTGTTTTATTTTGTGAGCAGTGCTGCTGTATTGTAGAGGGCAAAAAATTGTATTTGATGGAGGAGTGGAACTCTTCCTTTTCAGAAGAGCATTCCGGTCTTTGCTTTTTGCCTTCATAAGGGCTGGATCAAGTGTCTTTTTAGTGTAGCCCCTCTGTCTGAATCTGCTGTACATGTCCTTCGCTTGGTGGTCAAAGTCCGATTCAGAGCTGCATATTCTTCTTACTCTTAGGAGTTGCCCAAACGGAATGTTGGAGATAAGATTCTTTGAATGAAAACTTTCTGCTCTCAAAATAGTGTTTCGGTCCGTACTTTTTCTGAAAATGGAAGTCTGCATCTGTCCAGTCTCCTCCAGGGTGATTTTGAGGTCTAGAAAGTTTATTTGCTCCTTACTGACATCTAGGCTCAGCTTGATATTGGGATTAGTATTGTTAAGAAAAGCGTGGAAGCTGAGTAGTTGTTCTTCGGAGCCTGTGAATATGAAGATGAGATCATCAATATATCTGCCATAGAATGCGATGTATTGTCTGAATGGGTTGTTGTCTCCGTATATATATTGCTGTTCCCATAGTCCCAGGAAAAGTCCTGCGTAGTTTGGGGCATATGCTGCACCCATGGCTGTGCCTTTTTGTTGTTTAAAAAGTTGATCCTGAAAAAGGAAAATGTTATTATGAAGTGTCCATTTTGTCAGACATACAATAAAATCTGTGGGTGGCCAGAGGGTTTCTCTCTTTTGTAAGAAGTATTGTAGTGCCTCTAGACCATCTTGATGGTCAATATTGGTTTGAAAACTAAACAATTTCAATCACCTGTCCTGGGTGGAGAAAACAAAAAGCGGTGTTATTTATAGTTTTATACTGACCTCCTGGTCCTTACAGCGAGTTCCTAACAGAATTCTCTGACTTCATTTCAAACCTAGTTTTGGAATGGGAAAACATAGTTATAACTGGAGACTTCAATATACATGTGGACGACAGCACTGACAGCTTAAACAGACGTACATGTAGGAAATGATCATGGACCAGAGTTTACACATGGTAAGACCCAGACTATCTCTCTCCTGTCCCCGGGGCTAAATGTATCCTAATGTGTCCTAATGTATACTGTTCCCTCCCCCACAAAAATGCAGATTCATATCAGAAACAGAATAGACTCCTTTTGGAGCTACATTGAAAACTGAGTTAACATCACATAAAAAAGATAATCTGAAGATAAACAAACGATTTCACATCCAGCCCTGTATGTGTTTTCGTATCACGATTAAAGTCTTAGTTCTGGTTTTGAAACACCACCCTGGGCTTTTTCATTTAATTTTTTCCTAACTTGTATCATCGCTTCCAGAATTTTGTAGTGTTTCCCCCCTTGTGATTTCATCCACAGCATTAATATCCCGCCTTGATTACACTGAGCCTCATAAACCAGAGCTCAGCAACAATTACAGAATAATCAACTAATCGATGACACACAGTTTTCAATTAAACTTTGTTTATAAATATATCCCATGGCAACGGCAGCGAGCGCCTGTGACGACGGCGGATATGACACTCGATATAATGACAGTCGCTAATAGTGTGCGGGAAATTAAGTTATGTTTTTGGGATGTGTTGGACTCTCGAGGGCTCATCAACGCTTTCATTGAGAAATTAAGAAAAATGACTCTTCTCTAGGACAGTGCGACTTGTACTCCAGGCCCGAGCTGCAAAATACACAAAATACAGTTAGCAAAAAGTATTAAAATCATTACCAAAAAACATTGCTATAAAAAATCTAAATTATAAAACCCAAAAATACGATATGACACAAAACCGAGGGAGAAAAGGTGCCCAAACATAACACAAGTCTCCCTGCGCGACAGGGACTTCTCCACCAACTCCCACTGATGTCTGCTGTCGTTGTGTCCTTGGGCAAGACACTTAGCCTCAAAGATCAAGACGAGAGCAGCCTCCTGTGGACTCAGCACCTGCAGAAGGATCAGTGAGAATACATTGAGTTGAATTACGTTGATTAATATATCTAAATAATTGAAAACATCTAAAGGTAAAGGTAAAGGTATTAATCCCCGTAGGGCAATTCATCCTCTGTATTTGACCCATCCTGACGCCACTAAGGCTTACGTCAGGAGCAGTGGTCGTCGTAGTAACAGCGCCCGGGAACCCATCTCCAGATGTTGATGCTCGTCTTGGTCAGGACCAGAGCTGGAGGATTTAACCTAGTGAGCATGTTTATAGTGGTAGGAGAAACCGGAGCACCTGGAGGAAACCTACGCAGGCACGGGGAGAACATGCAAACTTCCCTCAGAAATACCCTGTTCCAACCGGGATATACCTTTCTACTCATGCTCCTCTACATTTCAATATTGTAGAAACTCCACTTTTTTATCTTTTTCTTTTTCCAGACTTAACTCAATTCAAAATGTTCTGACGCCTTCAAATGTAAACACGTTTTTTTTGTTTCCGAGCGCTTGTATAGTTTTGTGACGTTAGACCCCCCGGAGTGAGTCCCCCATCGGTCCAAACGTGTGGGCACGAGTCAGTTTTGGCGGCGGCCCCGACACCGCTCAGTCGGGGGCCACTTCCTGCTTCAGCTGCCTCTCCAAATGCTGGCATCTGTCGCAGTCTGAAAGGGCCTCTGATTACTCCTCCACTCTCTGTTTTGGCTCTTGATCCTCCATG